GTCTGTTATTTGTGTATAAGAAGGCTACTGTTTTTTGAGTGTTGACCTTGTATCCAGCTACTCTACTGAATCTGTCAATTAAGTCTAGAAGTCTTTTGGGTCTTCTATGTAAAGTATCATATCGTCAGCAAATAGTGACAGTTTAACTTCTTCTTTTCCTATCTTTATTCCTTTTATTTCTTTCTCTTTTCTAATTGCTGAGGCTAATGTTTCCAGAACTGTATTGAACAGGAGTGGTGATAACGGGCCATGCAACCATTTCTTACATTTTGGATATTTAGCTTGGGCTGGGGATTTAGCTCAGTGGTTCTGCCGCCTGCCTCGCATGCACAAGGACCCCAGTTCGATCCCCGGTACCAAAAAAAAAAAAAAGATATTTAGCTTATTGCTTCCTGTTTTCACTATTTTGAGTAAGGTTGTGATGAATGTCCTTACAGGTAAATCTTTGTCACCTCAGTAGCTATTTACTTATGATGAATTAAAACAGGTGGACTTAGAGTTGCGCAGTCTGTATTTGTTCGGTGTGTATTTTTGAGTTGCCGTGCAGAAAGGGGTTCACTTTCTATGCACACTCGCAGTACTATACTGAATTTTTTCTCGTTATGGATTTACTGGGAATAAGGCATTTTTCAGTTTCAGACATTTCACTGACTTTGGATCTTATAATAAATGTTTGCAGCTAATTGCAGAGATGACATGACCTGCGTGAAAGAGGAGATCTTTGGACCGGTCATGTCCATTTTGCCATTTGACACAGAAGCCGAGGTTCTGGAACGAGCCAACAATAGCACCTTTGGACTCGCAGCTGGCGTGTTTACCAGGTACATGGAGGAGGACACCGAACAGGCTTCTGGGGTGGGGCCGAGATGTGTGGTGGATCTGACTCCTCCCTGGAGTTTTCCCTCGCTTAGAGCCATCGGCGTTTTGTGTGTGCTTCAGCTGAAGTCAGAAGATGCCACAGAAGCACTTTGTAATTTGCCCCGAATGGCCTAAGGACTCTGCTCAAGTTTAAACTGAGCTATGAACTTTGTTGATGAAAATTCCGCCCTCTTGTTCATTGATTGAATAAACATTTAAGGTAGTGGTCTGTGTAAAGCATTGGGCTATTTGGAAACCTGTTTGTTTGGTAACCCTGAGGTTAGTTTTCCTGTGGCTTTGTGGTCACAGACCTGGAAGGAAAGCCCAAGTCTCCCTCCAGGCCCTGATACGATAGCTTCATTTTCAGCACTGAAGAAAAGATTGGGACTTAGCTTTTTAAATTTGTCAATGGAGAGAACTAAGTGCTCTTGCTTGGCTTTGCCACCTGAATACAAACAGAAAAAGGTAACCCTAATATGCAATTACCTTTTCTTTTTAACAACTCTACTGGGATAATTCACATGCCACACAATGCACTCAGTTCAGTGGTTTTTAGTTTATTTACAGAATTGTGCAACTACCACTATAAGCTAATTTTAGAATATTTTCGGTGTGTTTCTTCATCCTAAGAAGAAACTGTGTGTCCATTAATAGTTATTTCTAGCCACGTGTGGTGGTGTGTGGCTGTAATCCCAGCTGAGGCAGGAGGATCGCTGTGAGTCCCAGGCCAGCCTGGGCTGCATAGTGAGCTGGAATACCTAGTGAGACCCTGTCTCAAACAACAACAGAATAGTCACCCTCCATTCCCTCTCCTCTGCAGTCCAGACAGCCACTCATCTACTGTCTGTCCCTATGGGTTTGCCTATTCTGAAAAAAAAAAGTTATGTGAATGGAGTCATATAATGTGATTTGTGATTGGCTTCCTTCACTCATCATCGTGTTTCAAGGTTCATGTATTTTGCAGCATGTATCGGCATGTCATTCCTTTTGGAATGATATGCCATTGTATGGACATACCATGTTTTGTTTATGCTTTTATGCATTGATGGGCATTTGGCTATTTCTACTTTTGTGTGCATTATGAATAATACTGCTATAAACATTCTTGTTCAGGTCTTTGTGTTAAAAAATTTTTTGGGGTGTTTTTGGTGATACTGGGGATTGAAGCCAGGCTTCTGCCCTGAGCTACACCCCCAGCACTTTTAAAATTTTTAAAAATTTTGAGACAGGGTCTTACTAAGTCACTATTACTGCCCATGCTAGGCTTGAACTTGCCATCCTCCTGCCTCAGCCTCCTCAGTGCTGGGATTACAGGTGTGCAGTACCATGGTTGGCTTGTGTGAACATGTATTTTCATTTCTGTTGGGTGTACCTCTAGGAGGGAAATTGCTGGATCATTTGGTAACTTTATATTTAACTTTTTGAGGAACTACTAACTTGTTTTTCAAAAGGGCAGTAGCATTTTACATTCCTACTAACAATGTATGAAGGTTCTAGTTTCTTTTCATTCTTGTTAGCCCTTTTTATGTGCATTTTTGTGGATTTTATTTTCACTTCCTTTTTTTGAGACAGGGGTTCAATATATAATCTAGGCTGGCCTAGAATTTGCTATGTAGCCTTGACTGGCCTCAAATTTGTGATCCTCCTGTCTCAGCCTCCTCAGTGCTGGGATTACAGGTGTGTGCCACAATACTTAGCCTATTTTTACTTTTTTTTTTTTGAGTCAGGTCTTGCTATGTAGTTCAGGCTGGTCTTGAACTCAATTTGCAGCCCAGACTGGCCTCGAACTTGCAGCAATTCTTCTGCCTCAGCCTCCCGAGTACTGGGTTATAGGTGTGCACCACCATGCCCAACTTACTCTTTTACTTTTTTTTTTGGTACTAGGGATCGAACTCAGGACCTTTCACTTGCAAGGCAGGCATCGGAACCACTGAGCTACATCCCCAGCCCTCTTACTTTCTTGATGATCTTCTTTGCAGCACAGATTTTTAAAAATTTTGATAAAATCCAATTACTCTTTTTTTGTGTGTGGTCTGTTACTTTTGGTGTCACAGCCAAAGAGGCTTTGTCTGACCCAAGGACATAAGGATTTATTCCTGTGTTTTCCTCCAGGAGTTTTTACAGTTTTCACTTGGACATTTTAGATCTGTGATCCAGGTGGATGAATTTTTGTGTATGGTGTGAGAGAATGGGATTCTGCTTTACTCTTTTGCCTGTAGGTATCTAGTTCTCACACCATTTGTTGGAGACTGTTTTTCCTCATTGGCATGTCCTGGCACCCTTGTTCCTGTTTATTTTGTAGATTCCTTTTAGAGGGTACTGTAAATCTGAAGTCTGTGCCTATTTTGCCTTGACAATAAAAGGTTTTAAAACATTTTAAAGAGACAAAAATTTGGCAAGATTTTGGGAGCCTTAAAACTGGACCCTGACTTTTTCTAGTAAAGTAGTAATAACTCAGTGTGCTTCCCTTGGTAGGGACATCCAGCGGGCTCACAGAGTGGTGGCCGAGCTTCAGGCGGGAACGTGTTACATTAACAACTACAACGTCAGTCCGGTGGAGCTGCCCTTCGGAGGATATAAGAAGTCAGGTGGGGAGCTGGCCATTGTGTCAGCAAACAAGGTGTCTGGGGAGACCAGGGTTCCCAAACCTGTCTGCCTGATAGAGTCCAGGTGCTCCCCCCACGCCCTGGAGTCTCGGAATGGAAGCCAGGCATCTCCAGAAGGTTCTTATGTGGAGTGTGGCTTGTGAAGTGCTGATACACATCTCAAAAAGGTTCATGATGGGGGTAGAGCCTGCGATGACCTTGAATATAAAACCATTTCTTCAGGAGTTCTGTTTGAGGCATTGCCCATCAACAGGGTTTAGGTAAAGTGTCTCTAAAGTAATATCCCAGAAAGCTTACGTTAGTTTGTTTTCTCTTTTAGGCAAAATTAATAATAATCTCTTTTTTAGCAGGGGGTACCGGAGATTGAACTCAGGACCTTGCGCTTGCCAGGCAGGCAGCGGAACCACTGAGCTAAATCCCCAGCCCCCTAATAATAGTCTCTTAATTTAGCATTTCACAATCAGTTACACCCATCATCGTCCTAGTCAGTGGCTATGGATATGTCCCATCTTTCATAGTCACTTGTCACCTCAGTGTGACAGATGTACAAGTCTAACATGTCAGCAGGTAGAGGCAGCAGGAATGGAACTTCTTCCCCTAAAGTCCGTTGCCTATAGGTGTTCATTAGTTTCCCTCACTGCTCTCCATCTAGACTCAAAATAGCTTGGCCTTTTAGAAGCATTGTTCTGACAATCTCACCCCTGGCCACTGTGGCAAATTTTACAGCCGTCACAGTGTTGACAAATACATAAACCCCACTGAACACTGATGAGATAGATGGCAGTGTTAATTTGCCAGCCTCATTTGGCATTTAGTATTATCCTGGCACTCCCTACTTGTACTCTACTGATACCTCCGTCAGAGGGGAGAGGGGATGCTCAGAGGGGCTGCACGCATGGGCACACATGCAAGTGGGAAACATGGTGCCCTTGTATTTGGGTCTCACCTTCAGCACAAGGCAAATTTGCTTGGAATCTGCAGCTTGGGCCTCAGCGGGGTGGGGGGTGGGGTGTCTCAGGCCACTCTTTGTTTCCCTTTGGACCAGGTCTGCAGAGAATGAGGAAGAGAAACAGCTAGATCTGCAGAGCAGTGCCTGCCCTAACCCGCTAACCAGCTCTGCTCAGAGACTTGCAAAGGAGAGCTAGGTCTCGCCCAGACCTTTCTGTGTGTTGTCTTTTGAATGGCACCCACAGAAGTATGTGCTTTTTGAGGACCTGGGGCTTGCCTGCGTAAGTCTGGGACAGTGTAGAAGATAGGACTAGCTTGGGACAATGTCCTGTGACCATATACACTCAGAGGGACAATGTCATCAGAGGAACCTCAGGGATCCCTCCCCTTTGTAGTGGGCAGGGTGTAATAGCAGGTTTAGTGTGAAAGTTTAATGAACCTATTACATAGAGTTGAGTTTTAAATTAGCACCCCCTTTTGAGGCCAGAAGGTTGATAGTTACAGAGAATGATTTCACACTTTTAACAGATTGTCCTAACAACAACAACAACAACAACAACAAGAAGGCAAAGGAAACAAAAACCCAAACATTTAAAAATATCTTTAACCAGAATAGTGGACCCATGAAATTCAGAGTCACAAATAGCTAAGAAATGAGACCTGTGTATTTTCCTGTCCTGGTCCCCAGGACCAGTGGGTCCTACTTCCCACCCTGCGCTCCAGAGCTAGTACGTGGATGGAGGAATTTATCCTGAAGTGTTGGGGTCAGAGAAGCGGTGTCCATCTTTAAGTAGTACTATGACTTTTCAGACAGTTGTAGTGATGGCTCATCCTGGCCCCTTTCCTTTCTTTCAGGATTCGGCAGAGAGAACGGCCGTGTGACAATTGAATATTATTCACAGCTGAAGACTGTGTGCGTGGAGATGGGTGATGTGGAGTCTACTTTTTGAAGCCAGGCTGTGGGATAAGTCAAGTTGGCTTCTTGACAAGGCAGGATAACTGAGGACCACTTTCAATCCAGACTTTGGAAATTCAGATTTAAAAAGTGGTTTGATGGTGTTCTTCATCTTTCAGTCACCTTCCTAACTGAAAATGTGCGTAAGTGCCTTTTAGACAGTAATCAAGATGGTTGTGATTTTCCTGACAGCAAATTTCTGTGAAGTCTTTAAAAGTTAGCAACACATTTCTAGAGAACAGGTAGAGTCTAACAGGTAGAGAGAGCATAACCAGGGTTGCACTTCGTCCACACAGCTGACCCAATGTTAATTCTCTAGCTAAGGACCTTATTCCTTTGTAGATTCCTAGTGGAATCAGTAGAGATAATTTCTAGTCATTTACCTTTGTTTCTTTTTTGGCCTCTTATCATTCCTTTGAGAAAGCTGATGACTGAAACAGAGAAAAGATTAGAAACTGACAGGGTCAAATTCTGCATGGGTCTGAACTTGCTGTAGTAAGCACTTTGATTCCATTCTGTTGCGATGAAGGAAATGTGTCTCCAGTCCTGGAACTATAGTTTCCTGTCTTACAGTGCCTGTTAAATGCACAAATTGGAAGTGAAAATAGAAAAATAAATGCACAAATTATTTGTATGCTAATGTAGTGTAGTGAAAATAAAATCACATTGTTAATCCTGTTGCATGTTTTGGAACTCCTCACATCTTGGATGGAGCTAGAATAGGACAGAGGCTATAAGCCGCTGGGCAGAGGGAGCTGTGAGCATGAGGGGCAGGTGCAGCTCCACCCTTTGTTCTTTCCCATATGACAGGCAGCACCATCTGGAAGAACTATCAGATCCTTGTGACTTTCAGGCTGTCCAGTGGCCCTCCTCTCTTCTTTTTAGGGGAATGGTTAATAAATCGTGTCATGGCTTGTGTCTAGATGTCCCCCCAAAGCCTCGTGCATTCAGAGGTGGGGCTTTTCTGAGGTGGCTGGATCTAGGGAGTGGGAATGTAGATTAAGGGTATGATAACTAGATCAGTCTGATAGGTTTAGCATGACTCTGGGTGTAGATAATGAGAAGGCCCACCCTGGGTGTGGGTAGAATCAACCAAAAGGCTTTCAGCCTTGATGGCATAAAAGGGAAAAGAAGTTTGATGTTGCTGCTTCACTGCTTGCTCTTGCTGCTTCCTGTCTGCCCTGCCATGGACTGTTTCTCCTCTGCCATGCCACCCTGCCATACCTCTCTGCCTTAGAGACAGCCAAATGGGGACTGAAATCTCTACAAACTGAGCTGAAATAAACCTTCCTCCTTTAACTTGGTGTCAGGTATTGTCTCAGCAAAGAGAAAAGTGAGACAAATTGCTACTGTAGCAGAGGTATGGGATGTCTGTTGTTACTGTACTTGGATCTAATTATGCATCAAGATGGGTAAATGCTATAGTTTTAGAACCTGGAGACAATTGAATCATCCTTTCCTGGTGTTTATGGGTACAGAGGACACATGGAACACCAAGTGAGGCCACAGTGGTATCTCACTGTGTCTTAGGACCCTTGTGCAACATAAATACCAGGAACTACCTTGGAGAAAACAGGTTTCTGATGGTTCCTCTACGGCCAGGGGAAAGGAGCCAACATATGAGTACTTGGGCAGTCTACTGCTACATGTCATCTCATTTAATGATCATAACATTCGCTCTTACAGGAATCTTAGGTGTTTCCTTATACTGACAGAAAACTGACGGAGAATCCTTTGCCTCACATTGCATTGTATTCCTTGGTCCATAGCCCCTTTTATTATCTAAGCCAGTAGTTTAGGATCTTCAGATCTCCTCTACTTCCCTATTGAAGGACACTGTGATTGAACTTAGGTCTACCTGCCTGGATAGTTTATATTAATTTTCCATCTCAAGATCTTTAATCATATCTGCAAAGTCTTTTTGCCATGAAAGGGAACATTCACAAGTTCTGTTTATAATCTCAGCACTCAGGGCTGAGACAGAAGGATTGCCATGAGTTCAAGGGCTGCCTGGGCTATGTAGTGCGTTCAAGGCTAGCCTGAACTACATAATGTCTCAAAAAAATCAGAGAGGGAAAGAGGAAGGAAAGAAAGAATAAAGAAAGGGAAAAAGAAAAGAAAGAGAAAAAGAAAAGAAAGAAAAAGAAAGATTAATTTAAAAAAAGGTTTGGGCCAGGCATGGTGACACTCACCTGTAATCCCAGTACTTTGGAGGCTGAGGCAGGAGGATCGCTGTGAGTTTGAGTCCAGGCTGGGCTATATAGTGAGACCGTGTCTCAAAAAAAGTTCTGGGAATTAGGAAGAGGCCATGTCTTTGGGGGCTATTATTCAGCCTACCCCACCCCTGCATGGTCCAAAGTGTGTTTCAGATGTCATTAGCTATTTCACAAAGATTTGAACAGGTTTACCTGAAAAAAGTTACCTGTTCATTCATGAAGTGTCTTAGAAGAATACAGCCAGTCATTATATCCATGACTTTCACATCTGCAGATCGAACATATTTGAAAATTAAAAATTGCATGGGTGCAGTGGGAGTGTAGTTCAGTGGCAGAGGACTTGTGTCACATGTGCAAGGCCCTCGGTTTGAGCCCTAGTGCCAGACGCACAGAAAGCATACTCAGCATGTGTTGACTTTTCCTTGTCGTTGTCCTGCACACAACACAGCATGGCAACTATTTTCATAGCATTTATGTTGTGATAGGCATTGCGAGTGATCTAGAGCAAGAGGATGAGCACAGGTCCTATGAAAGACCAGGATTGTGCCACTCTATGTAAGGAACTAGACCCAATCCCCCAAGGAAGCAGCCACACACACGGGTTGGATGCTGAGGACCACTTACAATACTAACACATACAAAACATACTCTGTTGGCTTTTGGCTTTCTGTCACAGGGACAAAACGCTGAGATAAAAGAGCAAAGATTTATCTGGCTCATGCTTACAGAGGTTTCAGTCCATGGTTGGCTGTGCCATTGTTTCTGGGCCTGTGGTGAGGGAGAACATCATGGAAGAAGGGCGTGGTGTGGTGGAACAAAGCCACTCACCTCATGGCAGCCAGGAAGCAGAGAGAGAGGAAGGGGCCAGGGACGAGATGGACTTCAAAGACAACACCAGTGACTTGGTTCCTCCAAATAGCCCCACTTCCAGGCCGGTGATTTAGCTCAGTGGTTCCGCTGCCGGCCCCAAAAGCACAAGGACCCGAGTTCAATCCCTGGTACCAAAAAAACAAAACAAAACAAATAGGCCCACTTCCCAGGTTCTGTCTCCTTCCAATATTCCATTAAACTATGAATTTGTCAGTGGATTAGTGAGGTCAGAGACCTCTGATCCAGTCACCTCCAAAGGCTCCACTTCCGAACACTGCTGCATTGGGGGGCCAAGGAGTATTCGGGGGATGTTTCAGATCCAAACCCTAAAACACACTGAGGGAAACACTGACTTAAACCAAGAGGCCAGGTCTTCTATTTTCCTGGGAAATGTCTTTTTCCCCCCTCTACTACTTTTCCCTTCCTTTCCCCCTCTCCCCTCCCAAGTTCCCCTTTCCTCTTGAACATTTTCTTCCTATTTTATAGCATCTATAATACATTTTGGTGCTTATTTTCAGTTTCAGTTTCTCATACTAGAGAGACAATGTGACATTTACACATATGTGTCCAATTTATTTCACTTAAGAATATGGTCTCAAGATGCATCAATTTACCTAGAATTGTTGCAAGTTTTTCCTTCTTTATGGCTGAGTAGTACTCCATCGGGTAAAAGAACCATATCTTTTATCCATCGGTTGATGGGCATTTGGGTTGTTTAGGCATCTGAAATGAATACACACTTTCCAGATGGAGAAGTACAAATGGCAAATAAATATATGTTTTGGTCTTTTTCTTTTTTTTGGTACCTGGGATCGAACTCGGGTCCTTGTGCTTGTGCAGCAGGCAGCGAAACCACTGAGCTAAATTCCTGGCCCTGGCAAATAAATATATGAAAAAAGGTTCTACATCACTGGTTGTTTGAGAGATGCAAATTAAAACAATGCTGGAAAACAAAACAAAACAACCCTGAAATTCCATCTCCAGAAAAGAATGGCTATTGTTAAGAAATCAACCAGTACAACTGGTGGAAGTGCCATGGGGGAAAAGGAACCCTTCCCCACTGGTGGTGTGAGTGTAGACTGGTGCATCCACTGTGGAAATCATTGGAGGTTCCTAAAAAAACTAGGATTAGAGGTCCCATTTGACCCAGCTGTTCCCCTTCTGGTTATCTTCCTGAAGGAATTGAAAGCATCATACCATAGTGATATATGCACACCCATGTTTATCGAAGTACAGTTTGTAATAGCTAAACCGACCCAAATGTTCTGCTGCACTTTAATTCTTGTACTAGAGGTCCTGGTGCTGCATGAGGCAAGAATCTGGCAGAATGAAAGTTGGTTAAAGTTGAACACCACCCCTCCCAGTCATTCATCAGAACTTCTATAAGACCATCCTTGTCCTTTCCTGCTGTTTACAATGTCAAGGTCTCTACTTCAGCTTCTCTGAAATGCTGTTATCTGAGTTGGGCTTTCCTCCAAAATAAAAAGGAATCAGTTTTTTTCTTATACCTACTGATCAAATGTTTTTGTCTTACTTTGCAAGGTGTGTGTGTGTGTGTGGGGTAAACATAAAAGGCAGCAAGAGAGAATTAGCAATTAAATGATAGCGTGAAGAATCATAAAAAATCAGATCAGTAACTAGCCATCTTTTCAAAGGAGATTGCATTACATCAATCTCATCCTTTAGACTTTGCTACAGCTTTTAATTGCAGTTAGAATAAAATCTAGACTTCTTGCCATGACCATGGACCTTGTCCTCTGTTTTTAACCTTGTGTTTCCCTCTCTTCACTCCTCATTCCTCTGCCAGGCTTGCTCTTGCCTCAGGGACTCAAAATTACTGTTCCCTCTTCTTAGAGCATGTTTCCTCCAGAGCTTCACCTTGCAGACTCCTTAAATCAAGAAGCTAAAAATCTACCTCCTTAAAACCAAAGTAGCCACAGTACACACCTTATCTTATTACCCTATTTCATTTATTTCAAAACATTTACTGCTATTTGAAGTTGTTTTCCTGCTACTTACACCTTCCCTTACTGGAATGGAAACTCTGCATGGGAGCTGCTCAGTGTGGCCCAGGCGCCAGCAGCACCTGCTTTTGAGTCTTGTTCCCACTTGAGATCTGTGACTCTGAATCTGCATTTTAATAAGACCTTTGGGTGATTTATAAGCACAAGTTTGCCAGGCAGTGCTTTTCGAGCAATGGTTCTAAACTTTGGATGCACATTAGAGTTGCTCAGAGACCATATTTAAAAATACTGGGAGGCTAATTTAATTTAATTGTTCTGGGTATCTGGAGTCTTAAAAGGTCCCCAGGTGAATTTAATGGGCAGCTGAGGCTGAGAACTGATACAGGTACACTAATACTTCTTGAATTACCTAAGTACAGTTCCTACTAGCCACATGTAATAAATGAAATTTAAACTAATTAAATGACCGAGCTCATCAGTTACTGTAGCTACATTTCAGGTGTTCAACACACAGACAGGGACTGGTTACTGTTTTGGACAATGGAGATACAGCGTATTTCCACCATGTTGGAAAGTTCTTTTGGGTAGTGTGGCTTAAGGGGAATGGAACTGAGTGGCTGCTTGGTTTTTGATTAAGTTAGAAGCACATGATAGGGATGAAAATAGAAGCAGGCAAGCTGAGCATCCTTAGAACACAGGCTAACCTGGCTGCTGAGTCCCACTGCCCCCACCTAGGCACTATGCTTGCATTGTTGTTTAATCCTCAAGAATTTTACACAAGAAGTATTACTCAACTCTATTTAAGAGCTGGGCAAGCTGAGATTTGGGAAGTGAATAGACTTGCCACGGGCACATGGCTACCTGCAGGCAGGGGTAGTTAAAATACAGTATGGGTACATTCAATTTAAACCTGGGTGTGGAACATTGAATGTAAAAAGGAAGGCAAATTAAAGCTTTATGGAAACCAGTCCTCATCTTCCCAGCTTTTCTCTACACCACTGAAAATGGTTCACAAACTGCACTGGAGTGTTTGCTGATCTAGTCCTAACTCCGAATGCCCGGAAGGCTCCACGTGGCCATCTGGCGAAGGCTGACCATCTTCAGTGGCCCCAAAGACTCACTGTGTGGAAGCCTTGGCTGACTGCTGGTGGGCTTTTTGGCTGACTATTAGAGCACAATGGTGCTACTTCGTCAGTGGATCAATCATAATTTGATGGCATCATTGGGAGGTGATGGAAACCAGAGGTGGGCTCCAGTTGAAGGGCTTGGATCATGGGGTGTGACCTTGTGCACTCTATTTGGTCCACAGTCTCAAATCTTGTTCTGTCTGCTTCCTGGCTGCCATGAAGTGAGCAGCTTTCCTCTGCCTCGCCCTTCCACCGTGATGTTCTGCCTTGGAGCCAGCCAACCATGAACTAAAACCCTAAACAAATTAAACCTTTCCTCATGTTGTTATTCTGTTCTTTGTTCTGGCTAACAGTTTTTGGCTAACACACTTGCCATCGTGCTCCATCTTTAAATGCCCCGTCTGTGAATCCAAGCAGTAGAGCGAGCCAATGAAACATGCCTGGATCTTAGAGTCAGGCCTGGATTCAAACCTATCTCTAATTCGAACTGGCTACTAAGCACTTGAAATATGGATAGTGCAGATAAAGAACTGGTGTTTTGGGGCCTTTTTAAAAATTAAATTCTATTCTCAACAGCCACATGTGGCTAGTAGCTTGTTATGGCTTGTGTCTAGATGTCCCACCAGAGTCTCATGTAGTCACAGGTGGGGCGTTTTCAGAGGTAGCTGGATCTAGAGTGTGTGACTGATTCGTGGTGTAATGCTAGGATTAAGGGTGGGTGATCACTAAGTCAGCCCACTGATTGGTTTCGCACCCAACCTAATCTTGGTAGCCTAGAGAACATAAAAGGGGCAGAAATAACACTGCTGAGGCCCCTTGCTTGCTTGCTTTGTAACTTGTGCCTGCCATGAACTGTTTCTCTCTGTCGTGTTGCCCTGCCTTTGAGCCAGCTGATTATGGACTACAACTTCTACAAACCGTGAGCCAAACCTTTTCTTCTTTACCTTTAGGTGTTGGTGTTTTGTCTCAGCAATGAGAAAAGTAAGTAAGACACAGCTACTCTCTTGGACACCACAGATCTAGATGCTATATTTCCACTAATATAGTTATAGCCTCTTTCAGTTTTGGAATAGCTATCTTATTTTGGCAATTTGTATCATACTCCAAATAATGAAAACCTTCTTCCCCATTTGCATATAAATGTATCCTTCCCCATTTGCAATCAAATCTTTGAAGCCAAATGTAGAAATTTACATTCATCTCTATTTTCACCTTCTTAAATTTAGCCTATCATGTCAGTTTTTATGCAATCTTTGATTGTTTGAAAAAATCCTTACTCTTATTCTATTTATCAGTACCAAGTGATAAGATGATAGCTAATTAGAGCTACAAAACTGTCCTTAATTTTTCACTGCTGTGGGGTGACTATAACATACTACCACAGCCAGACTTTTGCCACCTGTGTAAGTCTGCTGGAGTGAGGAGGAGAGGGATATTTAGTACCTATGGCTCCTCTCTCTTGTAGTAGGAGACAGCTATTTTAGATGGAGCTTCAAGAAGAAATGACTGGCAAGAGTCAGGAGGTTTAGGTATGAGGCTGATGCCAGATAAGTTTTTATTATATTTAGAAAAAAATGTTAACTGGAAATAAAGGTAAGTCATTCAAAATGAATGAGCGTTTTTAAACCCCTGTAATTTTTCCATGGCAGCTTTTGGAGCCACCGCCCAAGCCAGATTTAACCCAGCCAAGATGCTGGAAAGCAGAGCACACAGTTGTGCCCATCAAGGCAAAGAGGGCGATAGACCCCACGGATCCTCGGTACCGCTTTCTGGGATCTGCAAAAGAAGAAAGCAAAGTTATCAGAACATCCACAAGCCGCTTAACCACGGTATCTGGGTGTACATCTGACAGCCTGGCCTTATCAAGTTAACCAGCTGTAGTCTAAGACCATTGCTATGTCGGATGCTACTGGGCATGGTGGCACACACACACTGTAATGTAGCATTCTGGGAGGCTGAGGCAGGAGACCAGCCTTTATCTTAGTGAGACCTTGTCTTAAAATAAAAATTAAAAAAAGATGGGGGTGTAGCTCAGTGTGAAGGGTTCAATCCCCAGTACTGGGGGGGGGGAAGTTGCACACAAAGTAACCTGGCACAGTAGTTTCCCTTGGATCGTACAAGATTATGGGATAACAGTTAATTAACCACAGTTTTCCCAAGCGTCACCCAGCATCACATTGTTTACGTACTGACTACACTGAGCATTGCTAGGGCAAGTGTCACTTCAACCAGCTGAATCTTGTGTTGAATAAATTTGATAAAACTCTCATTTTAAAACTTCCTGTTATCTTACAAAAATTAACAAAAAATATGCAATTTTTGGTCATCCTGTATTTAAATAATTGGACTGGTAAGTGGTTACAGCAACTTTGCTATAAGACATTTGAAAGTTGTTTCCCTCTTTTGCAAAGAAGTACACCCAAAAATGTCTTAACAACAACTCTGTCTTGTTTCTCCTCTCTCTCGGGTGTATCATTTATAGCAGCTGTTAGGTACGTAGTCAGACTGCCCAGTTTTCATGCCACTGGTTTATACTTAGCAGCAATGTGACCTCCAGCCTCCATCCTATGAGTCTCAGTTAGCTCATCTATAAAGGGGATCTTTCATCTATGCAGCTTTTGGTGAAAGGGTAAATAGCTGATGCAAGGTTTACAGAATAGCAATTGGCACAAGAAAAATGGTCAATTAAAAAATAAGGTTTTGTGTTTTGGTTTTTTGTGCCAGAGTCTTGCCAGTTGAGGCTGGTCTTGAACTCAGGATGGCCTCAAACTCATGATCCTTCTGCCTCAGCCTCCCGAGTGCTGGGATTACAGGTGTGCACCACCATGCCCTGCATACAAAATGTTTGGTTACAATTTAAAAGTTAGTAAAAAGAATAAAGATAGTAAACTTTTCACCTTAATTATCAAGCTATTTCTTCTTTCCTTCCCCACACTTCCTCCTTCCTCCCTCCCTCCCTTTTCCCTTCTTTCTTTGGTTTTTTGAGACAGGATCTTGCTATGTAGTCCAGGCTGGCACTGAACTCACTGTGTAGCCTAGACTGGGCTCAAACTCAAGATCCTTCTGCCTCAGCCTCCTGAGTGCTGGGACTACAGTTATCAGCCACCACATCTAGCTAATTCCCCTTTTCTTAAGTACTGCTAAGAAGAAAAATATAGCAGCACAGAATTTTAAATTTATTTCCCTGACCAGATGTCAACATGTGCTTACCACCCGTGTAGTAGCCATAGGCATAAAGAACTCGTCCAACAATCCAGGCCATGCCCAAGCCAGAAGCTATACGCTAAGATAAAAGGGTTACATTAGTGTTTGCATTACAGAAATGGGCAATCTTTATTAACACCTAGGGTTAATGCAATGTGTTACTAAAAAAAGACAATAATTTCATGGATTTGCTAAGAAACTTGCCACCAAAGTTAGGGAGAATTAAGTAGTTTCAGTCCGGAAAAATCAAACACCTGTGATCTTTCTATGACCTGTGTTACGGTTTGTGCTTAGATGGCCTCCAAAGCCTCCTGCGGTCATAGGTGTGGCTTTTCAGAGGTGGCTGGATCTACAGGGTGTGATGCTGGGATTAAGGGTGTGTGATTACTAAATGAGTCACAGATAGGTCTGGCATAGTTCTGGCTGGCAGTCAGGGTGGCCCACCCTGGGTGGATAAAATATGAAGGACAGAAAGAGGGCTAGTGCAGTTGCTTGCTTTGCTGTCTTCTCCCTGCCATAGCTGTCTCTCTTCTCCGATGCCACCCTGTCTGGGAGCCAGCTGATTACAGGCTGAAACCTCTGCAAACCGTGAGCTAAATAAACCTTTCCTCCCTTAACTTTGGATGTGGGCTATTTTTCTCAGGAATGAGAGAAAAGTAACTAAGACAACCTGCTCATCCACCTGAGAGCTCAACAATGGCCCAGGCAGGTTGGCCAGAAGGCGGCTCCTGTTTTGTCTGAAGGAACTCAGGGAACCTGTGCTAGGGCTCAGGAGGGGGACAGGCAAGCCTGGGGACCTTGGGGTGAATGAGAAGAGGACACTGACCAAGAGGACTAGAGGCAGAGCCATAGTGTCTGAAATGGGCCCCTGAGCACAAAGCTGACCCCAAACTCCAGCTGCTCTGTGCTGCCTGGTCTCCAGGGAAGTTGCCCACAGGGAGGGGCTGTGGGCAGGTGGTGCCCATGGCCACACATCCACTGGAAAAGGCGGGGAGACTGTATCGTGCTGGGAACCCTTGAACATGTGGTCTGGGGGGTCCCCACCCTTGAGAAAAGAGAGTAAAAAACTGAGCTGAAAAACCCTTCCCCAGAGGGCTCCATTTGGCCAGAAGGAGAGGGAAACAACAGAGAGAGGTGTGGGCCCTGTCAGGGTTGGTGGCTTACTGTGGCAGGGGCTTTGTCTGTGGGAGTTGATTCTGGGTAAAGTTAAATACCGGCCAGGAGAGGAGCTGAAAACGAACACTGCAGTCTCCCAAGTCACTATTTATAAGCTTGTATTTTCTGCCGGGTGGATTTTGTTGTTGTTTTGTGGTACCTGAGATCGAACTCAGGACCTTGCACTTGCAAGGCAGGAGCGGTGCCACTGAGCTAAATCCCCGGCCCTGTTTTTTGTTTTTCTTTTTAACTCAAGCCCTTTGCACTGAGCTGCATCTCTAATCCTTATTTATTTTTTAAATTTTTGGAGACAGGGTCTTGCTAAATTGCCCAGGCGTGGCTTGAATTTACAATCTTCCTGCCTCAGCCTCCCTTAGTGTTGGGATTACAGGTGTGTGCTGTCACACCATGCTGTATAATCACTATCAGTCTAAGGATAACAGGTTCCGTCCTTGGAGCAGTTCTTAGCAGTATCTGTCAGAACTAAGCAGAGGGCACGGGATCCAGGGAAGTGGGACAGGAATGAGGCAGGATGGGGGTGCTCAGGTGATGTCAATCGAGAGACACAGGGCAACTCAGCCAGCCAGTCAGGTCACTTCCGGGAATGGGGGTGGGGGAGACGGGGAGAGAGGGGCACCAGAAACATATACAAGAACAGTTGATGCCTCTGTTAAAAAAAAAAAAATAGGGGCTGGGGATTTAGCTCAGTGGTTTCGCCACTCACTGCGCAAGTGCAAGGACGCGGGTTTGATCCCCGGTACCAAAAAAAAAAATACAGGTCCCCAAGGTCACGGACTAGATGTGCCACTCTGGTATCCAACTAACAAAAGCACAGAGCTCTTCTGGCACAGACCTGAGACCTGTGCAAGATTTGGAACCTGGGTGGAGAAGGCAGAGCTCTGGTTAGAACTCAGCTCAGGGGACAATCAAGCCTGGGGAAAGGACACTTTCTGTCCAAGGCCAAACCTAAATGGCAGCTAATCAGGCTCAGATAAACTGAAGTGGAGACCGAATCTGCAGCCTGCAAGGGCTTTCCCAGGAGGACTCCAAGGCCCTGTGTCTACCCTGCTGCTGACCCAACCAACCAGCAGGCTCCTGCATTGGCCTTCCCCTCAGCCTGGGTCTTCCCCCCCAGGATGCTGCAGACTCTGTGGCTCCCATTCCTCCTTTGGGTTTCACTTACCCATAGGGTTCTGGGAAGGACCTTCCTCCCTGACCACAGTATTCAAAATCATCCGCTCCCCACTCCTGCCTCCCTGCTTTGTCTGCTTCTGCACACTGGCCAGAGTCGCACTCGACACATTATTTACTTACGCTGCTGTTTGTCTGTGACCCCCAACTAAAAGGCAACTCCATGGAACCAGCCTTTCTGCCTGTTTCACTCACTGCTGTAACCTCAGCAGGTGAGTAAATGTTTGTTACCTGAATGAATGAATATGGCAACTGAAAATGCTCATGGACTTGAACTTTTTAGAACCAGCTAGATCTGAGTTCAAAGTCTGATTCTTTGGCTTCAGGAAGTTAAATAGTATCCAAGGGGCTTTCCCTGATCAGTAAAAAATGGGGAGAAATGTCACCTACCTTTAATGGACTTTGTAAGAACCAATTAATTAAAATCCTTTAACTACGCACACCTTGACAGCGAGGATGCTTATGCAGCGTTTGTTTCCTTTCCCCTTCCTGACAGTAGCTCAGTGAACTCAACCCAAATAGATGAGCAGGCCCTGGAGAAACTTACCGGGTGGTAAACACCTCCAACAGCTAAGAAAAACAGGAACGGGGGGTACACTTCCAACCTGGGACAGACAGAGAGGAACTTTTAAAAAGTACCCTGTGTTAACAATGCCTACGCAGAACCAAGATACCTTCATGGTCTTGCTTGCGAGGTAGAAACACAAGAGTAAAAATGAATGTTGCCTAGAGGGAGACGCCCCGGCTGCTGATCCCCACCCAGCCTCTTGCGCTCTGCCCGAGAGTGGAGGTGAACTCAGAACATGCACAATAAAAGGGCTCATACCCGACAATCCCAGGAGGAAGGCTTGGTCACAGTGGGTTTCCTTACAGAAACTGTTTGCTCTCTAGGGCAGCAAGGTTCAACATCAGTTTAGGCGAGACCTGCTGCAAATGCTTTCATGAAACATTCGTGACATTTCTGAAAAGATTATCCAGAAATCTCACTCTTCTTAAAAACTCTATATTTTGCTTAATATTCATCCTGTTCACACACATAATTTTTTTTCAGATAGTCTCAAGATAATAGTTTAGCCTTGAAGTCACTATGAAGCCCAAGATGACCTTGAATTGGTGGTGGTCCTCCTGCTTCAGCCTCCTGAGTGCTGGAATTACAGGTATACACCATCGGCCCGGCCTTAATGATTGTTTTAATGCAATGTTCATAACTCATTGCTCTCATTCAGCAAATAGAGAGCGTCAAGGGCTGAGGTGTTGGACAGGAAACGTTTCCTCTGCAGATGTCTCTGGGACCCGGCAGGGTGACACTCACGTGTTCTGGTGGGCCCGCTGAATGCAGTTGAAGAGGTGCCCGTTCTCAGGGTCTGTGCTGTACATGACAGGATACTGTTTCAATAAAGCACATGAGTAGCATTTAGTGTTGAGTTCAGATTAACCTTGAAAATAATATATTCCAAGCCATCTTCCATTGCACCCTTGTCAGATGATCATTTGATTCTGCTTAAATATTTAGTCTCAAAGATCTCAATTTGCAGAAGCAAGGTCAGTGTTTCCATTAAATAGCTAGAAATTGGAGTGTCCCTGCTGTGGTCGGACAAGACGGGGCTGTTCACGATGTTATGCATCAGTGCAGGATTTCAGATGCATCCCAGACGTGCCATACCCTTTTAAGATTCCCCTGAGCAGGGAAGAGACAGTTGAGTGTGTGAGAATTTTAATGGAAGTATCCATTAGAAGAAAAAGAGACAAAAGTAGATAAGGAAACTTTAGAGGCTCCAGTGAGGGAGTCTCATTACAAGTTGCTAAGCAGAAGTAGACATTTAATTGCTCACTAGGGAGAACTTTAGAAATTATCCCTGCCACATCAGCTAGAACTAACGGAAGTATTTAATAGCCCTTCCTTCCGTGTCTACTGTCTAAGCCCCGGCTGAGTTTAACATCTCTTTTCTACTTGGAAAACAGGAAAATAACCTGAAGACGACATCTTTAAAGTGGCACATCAGGAAACGAAGCTGCCTCTAATCTTTAGAAAATAGCTCGGTGACCAGCAACCTGCTCTAGCCCAAAGCCCAGTGTTCTAATTCCAGCTCCCTGATCTTTCTACAGAAAGGACAAAATGAAACAAGATGGAAACTACTGCTCAGCAGGTCCCTGTATTTCCTACCTTTCCAGCCACAAAGGAGCTGAATTTCTCATAGGTACAGTTCTGAAACTGCCACCATCCACCACCAGCAACTTATTTCTCCCTCCGTGACTGAAACCAAGGTCTCAGATAAGCCTGTGGGCCTGGTCAAGCCTACAAAAGCACAGGCCCGTGTTCCCACTCACCTCCACCTTGTACTTCTTGCGGGCCTTGTTAACATTGATGGCGAGGTGCAGTACCATGACAAAGCTGGCAGCACCCGTCAGGATCACGAAACCATATTCCTTCGAGAGGACGGCCATGTTGCCTCTGTGAAGAAAGCGTGCCGTTTTGGGACACTGTCCCCCGCAGTACCCTATGGGACAAGGCCTTATAGGGCATGATGCCTCATTCCCAGTTAGTGCAGCATACAGATAAGAAAGGGTCTCTTCTAAGGGGTCATTAGAAGTATTACTGTGTATCATATAACAGAATTAAAAATTATTAAAATATATAGTATACTCACAGAGAAGCACTTGGTCACATACCATATTTTCCTTTCTACTCAGGATCTTTTCCTCAGCATTATATTGACAAGATCTATCTATACTGTTGCAACGGTTGTAGATATAGTCACTAAATACTGCATTTTCAAGAAATATTTTATATGCTAAAATGCTAAAGGATATGAGAGAGAGAGGGAGGGAGAGAGGGAAAACATGAAGGGAAATGATTCAACATTGTTTGCCTTTTGGGAGGGGACACAGTGAGGTCAGGAACTCTGAGGTGTCCCCTTGATCCTGGTCCTGGGGCAGAAATCTCACACTGGTAGGACAGGGAAAGGCTCAGTTCAAGTGCTCCGAAAGCAGATCATGGCTCTTGAGCCTGCAACGCTGCCAACATGTACAGGTTTGGGCTCCCGGGGAACCCAGGCTGCTGCTCACTCATCTCTTCAAAACCAGCCCCATGAAATGTTCTGATGTCTGCAGCTTATTTTGAAATGTATTTTTGAAAAAAAAAGACAACATAAGCCAGTAGACCAAAATGACAACTGTTGATCTAGGCGGTAGCTGTATGGATAGTCAGTGTACAATTCCTTCAATTTTTTTTTATATATGTTTGAAGATTTTCCTAATAAAATGTTTGGAGAAAAAGCTATCTTCAGCTCACTTTACAGTTCTTGGCATTTAAACTTTTGTCCTGCCCTAGGAGGAAAGAGGGGAAAAGAAAGACACAGGATGTCCCATGGCAGGTGGGAGGAAGCCCTCACCATCTCAAAGGACAGTCAGGGCTGCCCCACAATCTCTGAGCACCAGGTGGAGGAAGGGTCAGAAGGAGGCAGGATACAAAGGAACAGTTACAGTAAGTCAAGAGATCTTAAACCAACTGCTCATAACATGCAAGGCTGCCATAAGCAAAGAGCTCTTTGCCTGAAGTTTAAAAATGTTGCTTCCTGCCATGTGTGGTGGCACACACCTGTAATCCGAGCACTCTGGGGGTTGAGGAAGGAGGATCACAAATTCAGGCCCAGCCCGGGCAACTGAGTGACTTAGCAAGATCCTGTCTCAAAATAAAAATTAAGGGAAAATGGCTGGGGATGTAGCTCAATGCAAGGGCCCTGGGTTTAGTCCCCAGTACAGAAAAATAAACTCCCTGACAAATCTCTGGCTTCTATCTCCCCTGGAAACCTAGGGGGGGGGTTGTCCTGCTGTGCAACCTTCCTAATCATCTTACAAATGAAACAAGAAGATGATAATATTCCAATTTTCCAAAGAATGCCTAGAGGTTAAGTAATGTTCCCAAGGCCTAAGACAAACTATCAAAGCTGGGATTCAAATACAGATTCATTTGGCTCCTGAGTCTTCTTTCAGACCTGCTTGAAAAACTGAGAGCTGAACTACCCTTGTGGTCAGAGCATCGTGCTCTTGAGGAATTTAAGGCTGGTACACAGGTCTGTCCTTAAACTTTCTCTTGGCTTGGAAGAATAACATTTGGGGCCTAAGCCCTAAAAGTCTGCCCTCTCTCCCAGCATGGTCACAGTAATTCTCACTGGTCTCCCTTCTGTGCTCCTCGCCCTGGGCAGCACACCTGCCTCCCGTGAGGGGAGGACGTGGGCAGCGCTGTGCCCATGACTCAACACAGGAGTCTGCACAGAGTACGGACACCTGGCTGCCCTCCCTGGCTCTCACCTTCCTTCTTTCCCCAAGTTTGGAAAATCAAGATGAGCAAGAAGCTACAGTAATACTCACCAAAACAGAAACGCGGTGAATTCTGGACATCACCTTAAAAATACAGCGGGGTCTTGGTACTTGCTGTTAAGGCTCGATGAGCCCTGAAAATGAGGAACCAAACCAACTGTTTTGGTGGGAAAGCCACTGAGTCACGAGATGATACCAAGTTCCAGCCTGCACATCAAGCACTGGGACCAAATGTTCATGTCCAAATGTGTCAAGTACCAAATTCAACAAGTTTCAAAGTGGCTAAGCACCAAAGTATGACTGTAAATAACAGTGTTTATGCCCTCTGTCTTCCCTGATGTCCCTGAAGTTAAATACACGGGGACCAAAGACGCCCTTTAAAGTGAAGTTACCTCTAACCTTGTCCGAAGAAATGAAGTACACTTGCTTTATGTCAAAGCTGGCAAGTCCAGAGTTAGCTTGCAGAACCCCCACCTTGGACAGGGTGTTGGGCTCCCTGGCGGAGTGGGGGTCACTGTGTTGGAGCTCACTCTGAAGTAGCCCCATTTAACAGAAAAGGAAAGGGCAGCTCAGACAGATGAGGGCAGACTGAAGACCAGAACACTGGAAGTTGGCTGCTTAGTCCCTTGACCTCCGTTTCTCTGCTTTGAAAGAGTGTCAGGTTGCAAGACAAGAGCATCTTGAGTAGATGTCTCTGCTGTAGGCAAGAAGCACTCATAAAGCAGCTGCTCCACAATGAAAAATTACTATTAATGACCAAACTCCTCTTAAGAGTATGAATGCGATCTGCCAGGCGTGCGCATATTGAAAAGGAAGTGGTGAAAATATCTTTCACTCACACCTGGTGCACGTGACTCCTCACACTTTGTGAAGGTGATATAGAGTGAGTGTGACCCTGGATGGGGTCATGCAGAGCCGGGGAGAAGCACCCTAAAAGCCACAGCATTCACAGGAATCGGGACCCTGAGTCTGATGCTAGAGTGGATGGTTTGCAAAGGAGGGTGTAATTGCCCGCTGGAAGGGACAGGGTGGCTGCTCAGGCAGCAGAAGACCTGGTGCCCCTGCAGGAACTGTGGAGAGAGACATCAGCACAGGTGCAGGGACAAAGCCTGGAAAGCGGCCTTCCACAAGGGGGAACAGCCCTTCCCAACACCCCAAGCACTCCTGCCAAGTGCACCACAACCTGCACTTGAGAGAGGAGTCAATTGCAACAGCCACTAAACTCCCACGCAGAGGGGACCGCGTGGCCTGGCCTCGTGTCAGGCACAGGGTGCGCCGGCGTAGTGTATGGAAACACAAAGCGTGGGAGCTCCAACTTCGGGCGGCTTTCAGGAATGGCTGCCCCAGCCCATAACTGTGACGTAACCCGATCACCTGCCACAGTGCCTAGTATAAGATATAAATGTAACCAATTCATGTTTCCTTTTCTCCCTAAAAAGTAGCTACTGAAACCATGGGAAGCGGGTGTGGTTGCCCAGATCTGAAATCCCAGCCCTCTTGGGAACATGAAGATCAGGATTTCGAGCCCAGCCTCCTGGACAACGGAAGAGACGCAGTGTAATTCTGTCCCAAAATTAAAAACAAAAGAAAAAGAATTAGGAATGGGAATGTAGCTCAGTGTTAGGGCTCTGAGTTCTATCCCTCATACCGGAAAAGAAAAGAAAAGAAAAGAAAAAGAACCACGGAACAAATGGTTATGAATTAAAGAGAAATTCAGAACACAGACAAAAACTCTTCCCAAAAGAGAGGTAAAAAACAATAAAGGCTTGCCCTATAAGGAAAGGTTCAGCTTAATGCAGCCAAGGTTAAAAAACAATTTACCATTTACTGAATCCTCATTTTCTAGACTCCAGGGCAAAGAGAGTGTGTATCAGTGTTCAGAAGGGGTTAAGGCAGCTCAGTTCACAGGGCCACAACCCAGGCAGCCCCAGGCAGCCCCAGCCAGCCCCAGCCACACCCTGGGCTGTCCCATGCCGATAGCGAGAGCATCCAGGGAAGGGCTGAGGAGCTGATAACGCACATGTGGCCACTGGAAGGGACAGGGTGGGTGCTCAGGCAGCAGAAGACCTGGTGCTCCTGTAGGAGCTGTGGAGAGAGACATCTGCACAGATGGGAGCTCCTTTTATACTGCACACCATACTCTGTGGATTATTTACACTGGGCTGTGTCACCAGCAGCCCTTTTATGGACCCAACAAGATAGGGTGGGAACTCTGCCCTAGGCTTTGTCTTCTCCAAGGTGCTGGGCCAGCAGAGGCTCTGCTTTGAATGCTTGCACCTTGGTTTTCCTGCTTATCAGTGAGCTACTCCAGCACGCCCTTCCAGCAGTGAAAGCAGCATGCATCTCCACCTGGGCTATGCTGAGGACAGAGAACACACATGTAAGCCTCCTAGTTGTATTTTTTATAGTAACTGCATGAATGGAAGAGCAAAAGGAGAGGAACAGAGCCAGGGGACAACAGCCTAGGAACAGGCCAAAGCTAGTCCCAGGATCTTTGGGGCACTTTACATGTAGGACTGGATCATCTGCCAAGAAAAATGCTTTTACCACTTCCTTTTCAACGTGGATGCCTTTTATTATGGTTGTTATTATTATTATTATTATTCACTCTACCTGCTGGAACCAATGAATGCTGAGGAACAGCAGTGAGAGCAGGCACCCTTTTCACCTTAGGGAAGAAGCGTTCAGTTTTTTTCCATTAAATACATACAATGCCGCTGGCAGGCTTTCATGGATGTCCCCTTTGAGAATACTACAGAAATCTAATTATTTCTATTTACAGAAAAAACAGCAGCACTTCTATTTATAACTTTTAAGATTCATCAACATATTTATTACCTGCCAAACACGATTTGTTTGAGGTTGGCGGAAGAGAACTAGAAATGGCATCGTGACACAGGTGAGATATGGGTTATATGAGCAACAGAAAAGCCCCAGGCCTTGCTGGGTTTACTGGGAGGAGATCAGGAGAACAGAGATATGCTGCTACCAGCCACGGCTTGGGGTCTCCCAGCGGATGGGACAGCACTCAAGGCCCCAACTCTGCCGAGCTGCAGCCAGCAGACGCCAAGGGCTGCAAGTAAACGACAGGCACCATTGCAAAGTTTTACTTCAGGAGTCTTCAAATGAGGTAGTGAGGGTCTCTCATGCCTACAAGGTTTGTTTCATTCTGGCCCAAGTTAGGAACACAGGGTTTCTGTATGATATCTGGCTAAGGTGTTCTCTTCTAGGAATCTCACTGACAGAGTCTCTGGGATCAAAACTATTTTAGTGCTAATGCTTCCCTCAACCTTTCCCTCTAATTCCTGTTCCTGCTGCACTGCTTTATCTCACTGGGGCAGGGTTCCTGAGTCACAGGGAGCCTTACCCAGAAAACTTGCTGAACTACGTTGAGTGAATCTTCCTGGGGTCAGCTTTCTTTCAGTTTACTCAAGTCCCTCTCGGATGCCCAAAAAAATGCCCCCCAAATGCCCCAGGACACAGTTGGCTTTACACAAATGGAACAAAAGGCAGGCTTTATGGATGTGGGCACTTGCCTCAAATAGTGCAACAATTAAAGCTCCTTATCTTCCTGAATGGCAATCAGATTTTCCAGAGACAGAAAAGATTTTGCCTTTCAGTAGAATCCAGCTTGTATAACCATAAGCCCTGCTTTTATATGTGATCTCGTTCTCCTCAAACGTGCCACCATTTGTCACTACTGCTGTTTCTTATTTTAATGCATCCAAGAATGGAACAATGATAAAACATGCTCAGATCAACTGGGAGCCCATTTTCCAATGTTCCACTGAAGAGTGAAAGGACTTCACTGAAGTCTTTATGCAGCTGCCTGTGCTATTGGTCCAATCTTTCTTACATAGGGTCTCATTTGACATGGCAAAAATCAACATTTAATGAGTAACTCAGAAGGATGGAGACTGAAAAGGTTGGTCTGATCCTACCAAATGGACTTTCCTTAAGTCCCAAACACCAGAAGGTTCAAGAAACCCTGAAGTAGTACTGGGGGGCCACTGAAGCCCCCCCAACCTGAGCTGCCCAGCCTCCCTTCTGCCTCCGGATTGTCCCTCAAAGGAACAGGCCTCAAAATTATCTCCAGACGGGGTAGCCAAGCCTCCTGGGCCCACATAAAGCTCAATGGAGAAATATAAGAAGCTGGAGGCAGTAACGTAACAGTGATCATCTGTCTCCATGAAGGGAGTGGCAAAGGAGAGTTGTAGGTTTTCCCTAGGTTCATCCCACATTTTCAAAATGCCACATCTGGTCCATTTCTAAATTAAACAGATACAATATGTTCGAGTATCAAACCTTCAAATGACCACTAGACTTAAAAGACATTTCAGAGAAGGAATAAAAACATAGGTTGTAAAAGTAATTATTCTCTCCCAGTGGCAATAACATTATTACACAGAAACACAGTCAGGTGAGTAGGAATAGCATTATCTATCCAGGTAGATAAGGAATAACTTCCTTATGAATTCAGGAGAGGCCCAACAGCAGCGGTGGGTCTAATGTGGTTTTGTTCCCACCAGGCATGGTGGCACACGCCTGTAATTCTAGCACTGTGGGAGGCTGAGCAGGAGGATCACAAGTTCAAGCCCAGCCTCGACAACTTCGTGTCAAAGCAAGACCCTGTCTCAAAATAGAAAAATAAAAGAAGGGCTGGAGATGTAGCTCAGTGCGAAGCCCTGGGTTCAATCCCCAGTACTTCAGTCAACCAACCAACCAATCAATCAATCAAATATGAGGTCTTTCCTAGTACCTCATATTCTTCAGTTCCTCATCAATGTTGTTGGTGGAATATTTGAAAAGTGGAAGTTAACTGTCAGGGGGATGGCCATCTACCTTCTTAAGGGATAAATGTGCTGCTATCCAAATATATTCAGCTTTATGTTGAACAGCTACAGCTTGGCCACATATTCAGTTTCAGAGGCCATTTTAATGTCACCACTTTGGTGAATTGTCAATACTGAAAACAACTGTTTAATACACCCCAGTGCTGGCTGGGAGCTGGGAGAGGGGGAGGGAAAGCCAGGGAACCGTGCTGGGTTGTGTGGAACAAGCCTGCATTGGGACACACTTTGTTCAGGCCAAATAAACAAATTACCCCACTTCTCTGGAGGCTGACATTTGTGTAACAAGGCTCTAAACACACAGGATTGAACAGAACTGAATCTCCCCTGGGAAAAACTGGCAATTCTACTCTTCTGGAATTTTAGAATGCAGTTGCTTTGTTTTTGAGACAGGGTCTTACTATGTAGTTCGAACTGGCCTTGAACACACAGCGATCCCCCTACCTCAGCCTTCCAAGTGCTGGGATTACAGGCATGTGCCACCTTGGCTGGCCAGAATGCTAGATTTGTAGCAAGACAGAGAGCATTGTCCAGGTTCCCATACATGTGTAAGGACAAGTTTCCTAACAGATTCTCCAGGAGTAAGGCTCCTAATACCAAGCCTCTGGAGCTGAGTCACCCAGGAGATGCGACTGAGGTCTCAGGGCAGCGGCCTCAGAGGGCAGAGAAGGAATGGAGAGAAACCATGGGCTACAGAAAGGGGGAAAACAATCACAAAATTCACTAAGTGAAGCTGACTTGACAAATTCAATGTAGGACAAAGCATTTTATCTTATGGAACGCTTGCTTCAAAGTCCACGCCTGTCATCTTCTTCAGCATTTTTTTCAGAATGATTCTTTCCCTTTTTTATTCTCTACTAAATGCCATGCACCATTCAAGGTCCCAGAGGGCAACAAGGGTCATCAGTGCTGAGGGGGAAGTTCCCGGCCCCCGAGAAGGCACAGCTGAGTGTGTGTGCGCAGAGGTGAGAACAAGACAGGACCATTTCAAAACAGGATAAGAAGACATTAACAGTGATGTGTGAGAAAGACACTGATAAAGAAACACCCAGTGCAGTGGGTACACACAGGAATGGGCTTCCTTTTGTAAGGAAGAGAAAGGAGACCAGGGTGCATGAAGGGCAGTAATAGAGATTAGAGGAAGAACAGTAGAAAATTCAATTAGTAATTGCTTTATTTTGGACCTTGAGCTTGTGAGGCAGGCAGCAAGAACCTCTGAGTTAAATCCTCGGCCCAGTAATTGCTTTTTATCAGCTCACATATTGTTTAGTATGTGTCAAACCCTGTTCTAAGCGGTTTATCAATGCACCTCATTTAAACCCTCACAGTATCTCTATGACAGATTATAGCTTCCATTTTGCAGGTGAAACTGAGCATCAGAGAGGTTATATCATTTGTCACACAGCAGAGCAAAGCCTAGATGCCCACGAGTCCCTGCAGGCTGGCTCCAGACTCTAAGCTTTCACTGTTGGCTCTACTGTCTTTGAGTAAGGTCAAAGAGCACATTTGACAACATGTGAGCTCTTTTGAAATAGCTCTACCTCTCCAGACCCACTCCTGAGCATAAAGTATATTAACGAGATGAGAGAGCTAATAATTAAGCTGTGACTGATTAAAGGCTGTTTTTAATTGGAAGGAAAAAAAAACCTTGGAAGAGGTCTAGAAGGGAACATTTTCATTTTATTGCCAGCAGTGCAGTATAACTGAAGGAGAGATTATAGGAAGGAAAACACCTCCTCCAATCTAGTCATACAGGTTTGCAAGGGGCAAAGCAAGGCAGAAACTGGCACTTCAGTTTTACACCATGATTCCCACACACCTGTCTTTACTGACAATACCCAGGGACTAGGACAACCAAGCTATGACTTCCAGAAGAAGGGGAAAAAAATCTCAAAGGGGTTACACTGATACCAGTTGGATTGTCCATTGCAAGAGGTGTGGGTAGATTGTAGTTAATTTTTTAGCAGAGGCTGAATCTTTGCTAGGTACCAGCCATCAAGCAAAGAACTGCCTAGCCTGCTGGCTCTTGCCCAAAACAGAGGTCTGATTCTTCCATGCCTCCCTGTACTTAGAATGAAGCTTTGGCACAATTGTTTGCATTTCTTCAACTGGAGAAGTAAAATATCACTTAGAAAACAAAGTGGAGTAAGGCACCAAAATCTTACAACCCATGTTCCAGTTAATGAACAAGTTCACTCTACACAGATAAATAAGTAGATACTGTGAGGTTTTATTTTACAGAGCAATAATCTCCCTTAAGATAATGCTGAGTTCTGGATACAGAACCAGAATGTTTAGGTATGAATATAGGGAGCAATATGTCGACTACAGCTAGATGTGCAATAGGCACTAAATTACTTCTGACAGATTGATCTGATGTCCACCTCAATCCAGGTTGCCCTAGAGCTTTTCAGCGTCCTCCAGATAATAGGTAGTCTTTCTTTCATGTATTTTCCTTCTTTGCAATAACCTCCAAGTGAACAGTTTCCCTTTCCGAACTGTGTTTCCCCAGAATTCTAGGCCATCAGGAGGAAATCTAAATAAGAGGGAAGGCAGCCCTTCTCTGGTTTTGTTCCTAATTTGAGGAAACCCCTGGAGTGCAGGATCTATGGTTGGTCACAGTATCACTGTCTTTTTATATATAGTAACATTGGTTTAAAAAAAAATCACTCGACAAAGTTTTCTATTTCTGTAACATTGTGTCAGAAGGGAGGCTTAACAGAGTGTCTTCCCAGGAGTGAAAGTATTTGTTTGGATGTTAGAAGGTGGTTTTATTTAACTCTTCAGTTAAATTTAACTGCTGTGAGGATATTCTCCATCCCTGACTCTGATAATACACTCTCATTACCGAACTGACTGAAATAAAACATGACTGGAACTGACCGATAACCTTGGGTGCTGGCAATTCTGCAGGCTTCAGGTGACCTACACCAGATCCCATCTTAAAACCCGCAGCAATGCTGCAGCATTAGGCCCACCCCATACAACTGCAGCGGGAAGCAGCCTCACATTCTGGGACGCTCCCTTTCCCCAGGGGATTAAAGCCCCACCCCTTTCTGGCCTATCCAACCAACGGTCGTTGCTTTTCCTTGACTTCCTTTCCCACACTCACTTGTTCCTCAAGCTACTTGTAAATTTCTTGACTCCCAAGGAAAGTATTCGCAATAGCCACAATTTAGAAGAATGACTCAACAATAAGACTCCAGCCCCTTCCACCGCCGCGCAGCTGCCCCACCTCTGTGCCCCGCCCCTCTTGGCAGCAACACCAGATAAGAAGGGAAATTGTTTGAAACCCTCGAACAGACAAATGAAGATTCTCCTCCCCGCCCCCAACCCTTGAGGCATCTCCTTCCCTAACTTAGGGGCAGGAAACCACACGCTAAGGAGTTCTTATATAAACGTTTTGGCTAGGCAGGAGGAAAACAAACAATTCCCTCTGAGGCTCTCTCCGAAGGATCCTAGCAACACATCCGCAGCGGGCACAGTGCTCCAGGCCACTTGTGAAACCGCTGGTACCGATCGGGCCTGCCCAGCCGCCAGTGCTCCGCTCGCCCAGCCTCTGTCCCCGAGCTGCAGCTGGCAAGGTCAGGTGGGCTCCAGAAGGTAGAAAGGGGAGCCCGGGGGCTGCACAGCACGAACGGAAGAGGAGAGGAAACGAAGGAACCGCAGAAGGGCTGACCTTGAGAATCTCGTCGGGTTATAGATAGCGCGGCCGGGTCTGCCTTGGACGCTTCAAACCCACTCCACCAGGAAGGGTGCAAAGGGGGAAGAGGACAGAGAGTAGAGGATGCAAAAGCACACACAGCTCCAGTGTACAGATAAGGGAAGGGGTCAGAGAGACCCCGTTAGCTCAGGGCGGCTGAGATCCCGCCGGAGTTTAAGTACCCCAGAGGGCCAGCCCGCAGATGCTAGCACTCACCTGGATCACCTTCGCACGCTAGGTACACACCCAAGCTGCGCAGTTCAGTCCGGGTAAGGTTCCTCCGCTCCCGGAGCAGGCCCCGCCCCCGCCCGGGGCAGCGTGTGGCCACACCCCCAAGACTGGGCTCCTGGGGACGGGGCTTTCCGGGGCGGGGCTTCCGGAGGCGGGGGGGGGGGTTTCTAGCCTGGGGGCGTGCCTTCTCATTTTGCCAGGTTAGGAGGCAGAGATTAAATTCTGTTGCGGCTTCTGATAGTCCCGAGATTTACCAGATCCGTAGGTTACTCCCTTCTCCAAATGCCTTCGTGACCATCTTCCTAAACTGTCCCTACTAGTTTATTCTTCTCGGATCGGGTTTGCCGAAAAGTGGCATGTTAGGAATTTATCCCAAGCAGAGCCACCGTAGTTTGGTTTTTTGCGCGGCTCTCAGCTGGACACGCAGGTTTTAACCGCGCGTGCGCGGAAGTAGGACCGTCCGGACTGGAGCTACGTGGAGGCTGTTGACTTTGGAGTTAGGGGCGCGGGGTGTCTCGCTGCTCTGCTCACCTCCTGAAAGGATTTAGGGTAGCTAGGACCTGTGAGTGTCCCTAACAGCATATATTGTTCTGTAGAGAGTTGGTCGCGCGGTCCTGACCTGCAGTTTTTGCGCCGCCTCCAGGTCCCACCGACCTCGGGTAGAGGCCTGGTCTGCAGTTTGTCCCGTGTCCGGCTGTGGAGGCGGGCTCGATCGCAAAGGCAATAAATTGACGTTTTTTTCGTGCCTTAAGTACCTGCCGTTGCCCCTGGACGCTCCACGCCATAGCAGGGGTTGCCACATCTTGCAAGCTGCGTCATATACTGCCTAATTTGTTTAAAGTGTTTTGAGTTCTACTAAGACCCACGGTCCTCCCCTAATATCTTCCGTTTGGGGAGATTTCTTACCTCTAATCATTTCAGGTTGAGGCCTGGAGAGGCTGTAATCTAGACCTTGCAAGGCTTAGGCTGGGTAGTGTGGGTGTTCTTTTTTATTAGCTTGTCTTATCCATACGATTAGATGTACTTTGAGGGCTCAAAATCTTTACGATTGCTGTTTCAGCATTTTCTAGCCACCCTCATGCTTTCTTCTTAAGTACAAGAATGCCTTATAGTTTTAAGTTTTCTGGCATGTTGAGAGTAGAGGGCTTATTTTTATTGAACATTGAAAGGAAGCAAATAAAGCATTTCTGCATTATTGAGGGACATTGTTCTTCCCTTGCTGACCGTTCTATATAAAAACAGGCAGTCTGAGGAGGTAGAAGAGATGACTAGAATTCAGGAGAATTTTGGCCTGTCCGTTTTAAATACCTTTGTTTGTCCAAAAACAGTACTTAAGCGCTTAGAACCTTTTTTTAAAAAAAATGTCATTACGAAAGCAGTATTTGTTTATTGTAGAAATTTTGGGAAATACAGGAAAAACCAGTAAGGACATGCACGTGCACAGGCACACATGCGATGGAGTCATTGTATTTGTCTACTCTATGCATTTCGTAAATTATAAAGCATTTTCCTTTTCATTTCTTCAGCAGTTCATGCTGCAGTATTTGGCAGTGACTGCATGTCACTTCATAGCTTGGACACACCAGTCCCTTGTTAGAGTTAGCTTGTTTTCAGTTCTTTCCTATAATGTAGAACCCTGTAGATAAATCTGTGTGCATGCGTATGATCATTTCTTTTGGCTAAATTCCTTTAAAAGAGCAATTTCTGGGTCTCTTGATGTCTGTTAAGAATATGTACTCCTGGGAAAGAGATATAATTTTCTCCAACATTCAGTATTCAATATAATCCTCCATTTCCAAATGGGAATAAGACCTTTCTCAGAAAGCTGTTGTGAAGTTTAAATGAAGACTATGTTCTGTGTGAAAGTTCTGCATCTCTTTTGTGTCAGATTAATATGTTTTGCAGGTCCTATTACTATACCGTGAATTATTATGTGGAAGACTTTGGCTCAGAAGTTTCAGTGTCCTTACTTCACTCACTCTTAATTCCTTCTCCAATTACAATCTGGCTTCCAAACTTTTCAAACTGCTGTATTAAAGGTCACCATTTGCCTTGTACACTCTATTCTTGGATTCTCAAAACCTGCTGTCTCCTGATTCTTTTCTTTCTGTTTTTCTTTATCTTTTCTTCCTTCCAAAAATGTATTCTGATTCTCCAAAGCACTAGTCTCTCTTTTTTTTTGTTTTTTTGCATTTTTTTTCTTTTGTGTCGGTTCATTGACTCTTAACCATTATCTACTCCTGTGGCTATTTTGGTTGACTAGAGTCCAAATTTTCCTCTCTTTGAGGAAAATCCCTTCTGCATGTTCTTTGAAGGTAGTACCTATTGTAACTAAAGTTAAAGGGCCACTTCTTCCTCTGTCCTGCCTCAGAGAAGCTAAAGGAGGTTAGGTATCAGATGGTACTCCCAGGACTCTCAACCTTGAGAAAATGAACCCGAACATGGAGAGATTCAGAGGTCTCATTCATTGTGTGGTGGTGGTGGGCAGGGGAGTAGATTTAAGCACTCCATTAAGAATTATACCCTAAACTGGGCGTGATGGCGCATGCCTGTAATCCCAGCACTCAGGAGGCTGAGGCAGGAGGGTCGCTTTGAGTTCGAGGCCAGCCTGGGGTACATAGTGAGTTCAGGGCCACCCTGAACTACAAAGGGAGACCCTGCCTCAAAAAACAACAAAAAAGAATTATACCCTACTTTTTACTTTTTATCTCCCATCCTTGTTTTATTTTCTACTATCTGATAGTTTGATTCATTTGTTTATTATCTGGCTCCCCTACTCAAATGCAAACTACACAAAGGCAGACATGTAGTACATTTACTCCTGTATCCCTAGTGTTCTTAAGTTCTTAGCGTAGAGGAGGCACTCGGTAACTGTTGAATGAATGAATGAATGAATGAGTTGTCAGTGTTTCTTAGCCAGGAATTCCCTGAATTTTTGTGGAGTCTGTGTTACCCTGTTAAGCAGGTCCTCCAGAGTCATGTAGAAATACCCACTGCATTCCAGGCTTTACCCACAGTATATCCACAATCACATTCCCTACCTTTGCAATCAAACCTTTATGTATTTCAGCAAGGGACATCATCTAAGAAATTACTCAGCTAGAAACTTGGCATTACTGTGTACCTTTCACTCATTGGACTTTCGAATCAGTCCTGCAGTGCACTGCGTTAGAATCCCAACAGAGCTGTTTATTTAGCCTTGTGGCTTCAGGGAAATTGTATCAGCCCTCTGAAGCTTATTTTGCTTTTTCAATCTGTGAAATTAGTGTACTAACCCCAATTTTGCTTGGCAGTTTTGAAGAAAGTTTCAGCCGACTGGATGACTGCTGTTACCAGTTTGTGTTGATGGCGCCTCAACATGGTTTCCTTCCTAGGCCCTTTGCCCTCACTCTGGCCCGAAATGATTTTTGATTTGGACAGAAACCTTCTAACTGGCTTCCCTTTCAAACTCATCAATGCAATCACAGTTATCTTTCTAGGGGGCCGGGGATTTAGCTCAGTGGTTCCGGGTGCCTGCCTTGCAAGCACAAGGTCCCGAGTTTGATCCCCAGTAAAACAATTATCTTTCTAGAGTAGATCTGTTCTTCGGTAACTGTGATCAGTGCCTATAGAATGAAGTCCAAACTCTCAAACACGGTATTTTAAGATCCTTAAAAGCTTAGATTCAAACTACCTTTCCTCTCACTGAACAGTAATTCAGTACACATTTGTGCCATGTAATCCCAGCACTCAGGAGGCTAGCTGGAAGGATGGAGCTTGAGCCCTGCCTGGGGTACATAGTGAGACTTTGTCTCAAAAAAACCACAGCAAGAAAAAATTGAAGTGTCTTTTGAATGTCAGGCACTGACACATTTTAATGGGGGAAGCTGTCAATAAACAATGTTAGTCATAGTTATGAGTGTCTTAGTCCATTTTGTGCTGTGCTAACAATACCTGAGACTGGGTGGTTTATAATGGATAGAAATTTATTTCTCATAGTTCTGGAGACTGGGAAGTCCAAGATCAAGGTGCTGGCATCTGGCGAGGGCCTTCTTGCTGTGTCTTCTTCACATGGTGCGAGGCAGACGGGCAAGAGTGGAAGTAAGTAAACTCAGTCCTTGAGCTTTTCCTATACTGCATCTGTCTACGCATTAGGGCTCAGGACGTAAACACCTCCTCGAGACCTCCCCTCCAAACACTGTTGTGTTGGGGATTAAATTTCCATTCTTTAATTTTGGAACACACATTCAAACCTTAGCAGTGGCTGAGATTTCAACCTAAGCTTTAGGAGGCATGGCTAATTTCTGTCATCTCTTCTCTACTTCTGTCACCCACCATAGGAGGAGCATATTTCCGGAAACCATTGTTCTGATTTCAGCCTGGGGAACAGAATGAAACACATGGCTTGCAGATCTGAAATCTAATCTGCAGTCTTGAGTTGAGTGTGGCTGAGTCCAGCCAAGGTCTCAGCACATCACTAAGCCCAGCACATCACCGCCAGCCCGTAGAGCTGTGTGAGGCATAAATACTTATTGCAGCTCACTGAGATTTGGGTTGGTTTGTTATTTTAGCAAAACTGGGATAATATAGATGCAGAACCAACAGATCTTGTATATGGACTAGAGGTGTGTGGGGGATAAGGAAAACAGGGAATGAAGACTTTTGTCTTGCATTAAATAATGAAGAAAGGTGTCAGATTGATGGGGGAAGAAATGTGGGTAAAAGAATGAAAATTTCTGGGCCAGGGATTTAGCTCAGTGGTTCCACCGCCTGGAAACTTCTGTTTTGGACATCTATAGATGTCCAGGTAGCGTAACTATGATCGAGCAAATAACCTCAAAATAGTGTTGTGCCCAGATTGCGAAGTCCCCAAAGACCACCAAGGAGCCGATTCCGATGCAAATACACGAGGGTCGTTTATTCAAGCTCGAGCAGGGACTCACAACTGTCACCGGCGCAGCGGATCAGGATTGAGAGCCCCGAATTTTAAATCAGCAGGGTTTTTATTGTGACTACAGCAAGGTTTGGGGATTTTCCATTCAGCAGTTACATGATTGGTTGATATTTAGCAAGTATGGGGTGTACGGGGTGAGGGGGGTGTTGGGGGCGGCTACATGTAGATTTTATAAAAAAGGAACAATCA